GGTTTGCTTTATATCCAAAATGAAAGTATGGTGGGTTTTCAACGTTTGAAATGACATTGAAACTTCAACGTTGTGCAAACGTTGAAGCTGCAACGTTGTATCAACCGTTGAAATTTCAACGTTGTTTCAACTTTCAAATCCGAATATAAATCCAACCTTATTTCAACGTTGAAATCTGACCATAATTCAACGTTGAAACAACGTTGATGTGCCTGCTGGGAACATAGAAGTGCCGAAAGTGTGTGTTATTTAAGAAATAATATATCCCAAACAGTGATTTTATCGCTCAATAACATCACTGTTTGGAGTTCGGATGAGAGGAATTATATTATATGTTATCATAAGAACTCCTGACAAGTTATCATAAGATCTCCATCCTTCGTGTAGTGTTCAGTTCCACTCCCATGTAATGTAATAAATAAGACACGGTTTTCTTACGGCATTAAATAAAAGTGATGAGAAGGGGGGGGGCATTATGATGATACGTGTAAGTATTGAATCAACCGTATCACAATGGTCATCTTCTAAAAAACAGAAAATGATCGTTTGCAAAACACCAGCTACATATGAAGCAATAAGTCGCTGGTCATCCTGTCATTAATTATAAAGCTGTTGTACACATGTGAAGTCTTATGGAGGGCGTTCGTTGCCAAAATTCCAGACATGTAAAGTGTATTTTTTGAAAACTACTTTTGTCATTTTGAACAAGTTACTGTTTATACGTACTCTTGTAGTTCTACAACTGGAAACAGGTTTTTCTTAAACTCTATTTTCTGTACTCGATTTTTACATTTCATATGTATATTTTAGGTACAGGTAGATATATGTAAGTGTGCAAACTTGCATATGTATTATATGCAATGTGAGATACGAACTTGTAAATTTGTTGTTGTTTTCCATGATAGGTTAGTCGTTACGATCTATATGTAAACTTGTTATATAATAGGCAGGAACCTTCAATTAAAAGATTGGATTAAAAGACATGTTATGTGTTATTCACGGGTACAATAAAAATGGTAGGCATACAAGATTGCATTTTAAAAGGAACACTTTTACATGTCTGGAATTTTGGCAACGGACGCCCTTCATAGAAGTCCGGCTGGTGTATTTAAGCGGTTTAAATAAGAACAGAAGGTTGAATTGAAAATAAAAGAAAACAAGAGTATGTTCTTGCCTTTTTATCTTTAATCACAAAAAAAAATGTCCAAATTTGTAATGCATCACAAATTTCAGATTGTACGGCAGTTAGTTCAGCCAATGATTTCGCTTATTGCCCTGCGTAAAAGAAAAAGACGTTAATATTATTTTTAACTGTTACATTTCGATATGCATTGCTGGTGTTTATACGAGTAATAAGGGTAACAGTTAAAAATTCAATTTCTTCATGTTTCACACTTGAAGTAATAACTTGCTATAGGGGCGTACTCGTTTATGTTTCAAGGGCTTCCGAATTATTTCCCTCGACTTTATCAACTACATGTGGATGGTGCAATGGAGCAATATGTTTCCATTAATCACCTTACAGTTGTTATCGACAGATTTAACTAACAATATCATAAATTATTAATTATTTGTCAGTTTATATTTTACCATTAATAACCATGCTTGTGAAAAATGCACGGTCTGCTTTAAAAGCACAATCATTATGCCTCATTCTTCGTTAGATAGAACAAAACATGAGTTATTGGCGACGCCGGTGAGCGGCGTCGTCTCTTATGGAATGCTTTTTATTTTGGCCTATGGAAGAAGCTGTTATTATTAGCAGTTAATGTCATGTTGTGTTATTAATTTTTATTTTGATTCGTAAAAATCAAGTAAACAGATATGTTGTTATATTTTATTTCATAACTTTATGCAAAAGCATGTGCATTGTGATATCATTTTTTGCGAAATTTCAGGCTCAGTTCTTAGCTTTATTGGCAATACTAAAACCCGGATTTCGAATATCGTTGTGGGTCTACATTTATGCCGTATTCTTTTTCATTCATTTATATATTTTCAAAAATTTCCTACAAGAAGAACGTCCACCTGCAAATGAGTATAAGGATTGGTAATGGAACTGTTGTAAACGATTATCCTATTGATTTTATCCATATTACGTTTATCTGTTGTGTAAAAAAAACTATCCGATTTTCTGTAATTACTGCGGTCACATGGCCATCTTACTTTTTATGAATACTTCACCATTACTTTGCATGGCTTAATAAAACTGAGCCTGCAACATTTCATAATCTTGCTGTTTAGAATATTCTTTCGGGTTTCAGGTTTTCTCTTTTTTAAGGGAGGTAACTCATGTTTACTAAATTATTTGTTCTTTTCTGTCTATCTTAGGTTTTGCTTACTTTTTTTTTTTGTATAAAATTTACCAGTTGTAAGGTCATCAAAAGCATAGAGGCCCTGAGCAGTGAATATTGATATATATTTTTTTTACTGGATTTATATACCTTAGACTGGATTTTTCTAGTTTGTTCAGTTAGTACATGTATACATTTCTACAGATTTTCTGCTACAGGAATCTTCTAATCACTATGTGAAACTAATTATTATTGTCTATGTGTTTGTATATAAATTGTTGATAAAATAACCTTTGGTAAAAATGAAACTTAAGGTAGAAAATGAAAACTATGCATATAGGTGCTCATGTCCTTATATTGAAAAAGAGAAAGGATTACATCCTGAAGTTATCAATTTTAAACACTAGATATATATGCAGTTAGTTATATAGTTAAGTCTAATGGACGGTTTAAAGAGGGACAGTATTTGTTACTATAAGAGATATGCATATATAATAATAAAATTAAAGGAATATTGTAAAGGGTGACTTAGCCTGGATCTTGTGGTTTATGCTAAGAACTTGTGAGATTTGGCAGGTTATATAATGACCTATCCAGAATTGAGGCTAAATTCGTGTCAATTACTAGTTATGGCAGGGTCCATGATGCAATTCCACCAGGCGGTTGCATGGCAATATAGATATATATTCCACACTCTCTGTGCTAGTAGATCAGTACTGGTCCATTAAGGGAAGAAAATGTCCTTAAACTTGGATCAAGCAATATAATTTAAAAAGTCTCAAAAAATCATATTCTGAATTGTTATTCTATTTTTTTCTAACATGTGCATAGTTTGAAAAGGACAGCTTCTGTCTTATCTATTTGTAATGGAGGGACACCTGTCTCAACCTCCAGGACTCAAGAGTCAACCCGACTACAGACTTTTCATAGAGTAGATTGTTACTTGCACTTGAATAAATTTGTGCACTAAATTTTATAGTGGGTGATGTGTGCCACATGAAAACCGAAAAAGTACAAAAAGTAACCGGGCGCCAGAATTAATCTATCTGTTAATCAAAAAATCTAAAAAAATCTGTCACTGGTTAGAACTGTTCACTGTTTAGGGGGGAAAATGTGTAAGCGGCCAGATAGCTCAATCGCTACAGCCGCGGTACATTATTCTGTGGGTCACAGGTTGGAGTTCTGGTTAAGCTGAAAGTTTTTCTCATCCTGTGACTGCATATAACCCTGAGCTTAATTCACTATGCTCCGTAAACATCAGAAATTCAAGGACACAAATCAATATAGTGGCGAAATATGTTTTGGTTTAGAACTGTTCATTATCAAAGAGATAATTAATGTGTAGCCGGCCGGAGAGCTCAGTTGGTCTTCTGACAGTCATGGGTTCGATACATGGTCAGGCAGTTTCTGTCAGGGTTTAGAAGTGGTTTTTTAACTGACAAGCGATTGATTCATTTAACAGATTGTTTAAAATTTGAAATGGACAAAGGCAATATTCTATGCATGATACTTTTAGATCTACAAAAGGCATTTGATACAGTTGATTACACTATACTGCACATGAAGAAGTTCTTCTTCTTCTTTATGAAATTTCAAGCATCTGCAATAGGTAATGACATTCTTACATGGTTCCAGTCTTATCTCTGATAGACAGTAACTGGTGGATGTGGCTGGTATTCATTCTACTACTACTCCGAGTACCTATGGTGTCCCCCTGAGGTTCATTTTAGGTCTTCTTTTATGTCTAATATATGTCAATGACATGTCTGCAAACCTAAGTAATAAGCTTTTATTATATGCTGATGACTCAGGTATCCTTGTATCTGGTAAAATAAATCTGAAGAAATTCTTTTTTTATGGCAGGAGTCTTATTAGAGATTGGTTAATTGACTATAAATTGTCTTTGCATCTTGGCAAGACAGAGTCTATTCTTTAAACTGGACCTAGCCTCCAGGTCACATGTACTGGTACTGCTATAAAGTATACATATTTTGTTAAGTATTTAGGTGCAAAACTTGGTCAATTTTTTTGGCATCGCCTTTGATGCTTTGCATCAATGTTTTTCTTGTATAACGTTTAAATAATGGTTTAAGAGCACGTTAGATGCTATTGCCTGAAAAAAGTAGTACGGAAAGTGAATTTATTTGTCATAATACAATAGAAGCAACAAGTATACAAAGTACATGTAGTATTTTTACTTCAGCAAAAAATAAATCACTACAAATGTAGTGTATTGAAAGAAACAGAAACAAAAGATAGCTCAGATAATTGGCTGATGAATAACGCTTTGGATACAATTACAGAATACCAAAAATAAAAAGCATATGAGAAATAGACATAAAACCATTTCTGATGCATATTTGACCTTGAAACTCATATTGCTAAATAACTATCGTGCCAAGTTTTTTTCACAGATGTAAAGTTGTGATTTCTGACACTGATCATCCCACCAACCGGTAGACTGGTGTGAGGCCTTACGAACAGTTGTGAAATCAACACAATTTTCTTTGCCTCCATGGTTATTTGGTTCCCCTGGTAACCAGTCTGTGTATCTGAAATCCTCATTAGAATGCCACCATTTCCACTCACCTTCGTTTGCCAGATCATTGCCACCTATCCAGTAACTTCCTAGAAAAAATAAGTTAAAAGTTTTGATCGTAGTGGAGTTCCTATAAAAAGAACGTTAAAAGACTTCTAATATTTACAAAAAGTATTATACAGTGTAACACCGATGATCTGTAGCACAGTAACCTGTTAAAAACAACATTATCAATTCTTCCCAACTAAGTCGTACTTCACAATCATTTTAATCTCTCTAGAGGAACAACTTTTTATCTCCCAAAGGGTATAGTTCTGTAAAGAATCTGTATTTGTTAAATTACAGATAAGACGGACTTTATAAAAAAAATGTTGTTTTTTTTTTGTTTGTTTTTTGTTTTTGTTTTTTTTTTTTTTCTTTTTTTTTTTTTTGTAGCACGTCATATCCCATGATATCGTTTATATTTGAGTACAAACAAAGCATAACCGTTGTCAAGTGGTTAAGATCACCGACTTCAAACCACTAGCACCTCAACATTGCTGGTTCGACCCCCGTCAGGGTCTATGGATTTTTTCACGTGAGTAAGCTATCCAGCTAGCTTACGGAAGGTCAGTATGTGGTTCTACTCAGGTGTCCGTGTATGCCTGAAATAATGCAGGAAGTGCACACGGAGTCTTGTTACACCAGTAAAGCTTGAAATTAGCCTTATGGTCGTGCATCTTTAACCCAACCAAACAAAGAATGGTGTAAACGTTGTTTTTTTTACAATATCGATTACATTGACATACTTAAGCATTGAATAAATAATTCAGTTGTTGACCGCGAATTTTGTGATGACTCCATAATTATGAGCTTTTACTTATTATTTATTATGCTAGATTTATCATGTCTTGATTTTCTTCGATAAAGAATAAAACGTATGCTTGGTTATGAACACTGGAAGCAGAAACTTTAGTACACGAATGTCCATGATGACATATAATGCACAAAATATATTTTAATTTTATGAATATTTTACCTTTCAGTAGCTTTACTTTGTTGGCAAGAAATCTGTTCTCCTTCTCATTTTCAATTTCAGCGAGGTTGCCTCCAAAACCTTGACATATCATCTAAAACAAAGAATAGAAATTTTCTAATATTTAACTTCATCTAGCTTACATTGCAGAAATTATCTTTTTTTATACATGTATATGATACTCATGAAATGAAATTTGATATATTTGTAAGTATTGGAGACAACCAATTCATTCTTTAGTATGTTACCTTAAACTTGTAACCCTTTTATTCTGTTAGAATACCGTCGAATATTTATCTATCATCTAAGTGATCTAGACACTTGCGCAGTGTCGGCATTTTCTTCAATATTCGCATAATGCCCTGAAACTTAAACTCGGGTACCTGCCAATGGGCGGTAACTCGGTAAGTCTTGTAACCGGCTAATGGGCGGGTACCATCGTGACGAATATTTCTATATTTCATTTTGACATGAATTAATTTACCAATCTTCTTACGGTGACCTCCCAACACCCATATTTCATAGCATACTATTCTATTAGTGAAGTAAACATATATAAAATTTACCTGAGCATTCATCCATGATTCTAGGTCGCGGCTAAAATGGTAGCAACTAGTACCATGACAAATCCAACCAGATGGACAGTCCAAAGCTGTTGCATAAATATTAAAATCTGTTAGTACTATTGGTAAATTGGCATTGTACAGAAAGGTCAAACGTGTCGGACTGTGGGAGACACGGGTATAAGGCGTGTTCTCATTCAAATATGTACTTTTTCGCACAAAAATGTTAGGATGTACTGATACAAATGCGTGCAAATTATCAACGGTAGAACCAAGTTCCCATCAACATCAATTAGTTGGGTAGAAGATGTTTTTCGTTGTGCTTAAAGTCATATAAACACTGTCAATGTCATATGGTGACCCTTTAGCTTTATAACTGGTGGAGGAAGACCACTGGCGCGCCTCCGTACATTGCCACTTTGGAGGAAACCCTAATGAACATCTCCGTGCATTGCGACTTACGAACTTTTTTTACTGCAGGAAAACTACTGGTGTCCCTCCGTGTCTTGCAACTTTGTAGCTTTACTGCTGCAGGAACACACCAAGTGCACCTCCGTGCATTATTTCGGACACGAGCTGGCACCTGAGTAGCTGAATAGTTTCTTCACGAGAAAGAATATATAAAGTTCATGTTGAGTTTCGAACACACGGTGGTGAGAGTCACGTTATTTGAAGTCGGGAAGCATTACTTTGTAATATGCAACAAAAAGAATCAAACGCCTGCTTTCGTCACAGACTGGAATATTAAGTTCTCGGGTAGTAGTAACTGTTTAGCGGAAAGTCGGCAGAGCCTCGTTACAGCCGTGAACAGTTACCCCCAGTCTCTACCGGCAGAAGATCCTTATATGACGTCATAAGTCAGTTAATAATAATCTAAATATATATGGCTAACAAGCACATTAGCCGCGGTGATGTAGTGTTAGCATACTAGACCGGGAATTCAGAGGCCCGTGGTACAATTCACTGCTGCATGCCGATTTTTCGTGGGTTTTGTATGTAGATTTAATGTTTATGTAACTATTTTACCGGTTGATGAAGGATAATACATGGTATTCTATTAAAAGAAGAATGATTTTTCTTAAAATGATTAGATCTACGAAAACTTTTACCGATTAAGTTTTAACAAGGTATACGTAGCAATGATTTTAAGGGCTATAAAATATCAATACAAACCCACCCATGCCAGGTGGAACAACTTCCACTTCCGTTTCATCGTCTTGTACTTCCGTTTCGTCATGCGTGAGTGAATTTTCAGCTTCATTACTTCCGCCCACTGGAGTGCGATCTTTGACTTCTACAATCATATTCTTCAAGAAAGCTTGTAGGCTCTTATTGTTGTTAGTTGAGAGTGAAGCGGAATGTACGAATGGCGACACAACGAACAAGAAACAAAACGAGAATTTCCTCATCTTGAATTGTATGTTACTAGTCTTCAACCTAAAACAAAACTAATCAAGGAAAATTTATATAAGATGAGGTATAAAAGCGAAACTCGTTACTTTTTGCGACAAAAATTATAATGTTTTTAATTTTGGATAGAACAGATGAAAAAACAACTCATTCCATAAAAAACTAGCTATGATAGCCATTTACTAGTTTAAAGTACATTGTACATAATAAATATATTGTTTTCTTTGTTTATTGTTTCAAATACAACTGCTAGAACATTGATTTCTACACCCTTGTAAGCATAGTAAATTGCAAGTATAGTTCAAATTGTACCTTAAACTATTACGCATTGTAACACCGTGGCCTTACGTACTTTGGGGTCCGACCCCATAGTGCGTTACGCACTTTGGGGTCCAATTTCGACCCCAAAGTGCGTTAAACAGGTACATATGCATTTTTAACATCAGGCAAATGACCGCACTTTGGGGTCATAGAAAATGAACGTTCATTATGTTTTAAATAATATATTGTAGTCAAAGCCAATGGTAAAATTAAATAGACGCATAACAGGTGCCCTGAATTATAGTAGAATCAATAGGGATTTAAATGGTCTTGATTAGTAAGTGAAGAACTTTCACCAAATAAAGAAGTTGTATCAATTATTAAGCTTACATTTTTTTTCTCATTTTCCATTTATTTTAAAAGAAAGTACACCTTTCATTAACTCCATTGTTTTCAGCTAAATGCATTATTTTCCTTTTTATTTACACATTTTATAGAAATATGATAGTCTTTGCATAGACAAAGGTATAAATTCTGTGTAATCTTAGTAAGACATTTCAGTAACAAATATGTGTCTGATAATATGTTGAAAGAGCCATTTATTCAGCTAAATGTGACATGTAAGAAACTTGACTAGGTGTAGATGCGACTTTAAGTAGTAGTCTGTACAGGCAATACTAAAAATATCAACTATTTAAGTAGTCGCACATTAAGAGCGGAGCTTTAGAATAATGTAAAATTCCCAGTGCGGGTATAGAGGGGATTGTGGGGTACCGATCCCCCCGAGGGTTAAAAATAACGTTTTCAAGGCCCATTATGCTTGTTTTTGTTTTTCTTAAAAGCTTTTTTTATTTTGATGTTCTTCTATGTTATCCAAAAATACACATTGGCCAATTACCTGAACCATCTTTTTCATCTGTTGCTTTTTGGCAATGATGAGTACAGTTATAGTGAATTAGTATTTTATATGGAAGTCAAATACTACATTGTTTTGACTTCCTTTATGACAAATAATTTTACATTTATCGCTACTTTATTCAGGTAACAAGCATCTTACATTTCTCTGATACTATTATTTTAACATTATAAAATTTATGTTTGCTCTTTCTAAAGAAGTATGTAAGATTTCCCATAAAAAAGCCTCTGGCGAACGGTTGTTGCGGAGCTTACAAAAACCCTTAAGTTTGTTGATAAGCTTAATAATGTATTTGTAAAAATCACTATTTATAGTCCGATCGAAAAACTTGATGTTTCACCAGGACATTGCAATAGAGTATACTTATAGTTCTTTGGAAAAATATATATTTAAAATGGGGCTCAATATGGCACCAAAAGTTATCAAGTAAATGACTGACAGAACAGGATATTTTTCGCAGCATCTTTTAATTTAAGGAATACACAATTTCTGTACATGAGTTTTTTGAACGGTGGCATAAAAGTGACATTTGTATTTTTTGGATACTTTTTTTTTCGTACATATTTTTTTTTTGTATGTCGTATATATTTCTTTTTAGTTTTGAATACATCCTTTTTTTTTTTAGTCTTGCATACGTATTCTTTTTTAGTTTGCATACATATTCTATTTTAGGTTTTTGTACCTATTTTTAGATATTTAGTAGAGGTTTGGATAATTACGCCATTTGTACATCATTTTCAAACCCTTCGCCATCTGGTAATTATAGTACCCCATTTGCAAATGGACCAATATTTTCATTTTTGGAGGTATCAAAAAGAATAACAACACTTTTTAGTAAAAATATATTCTGCATATGCTCTCGATGTGGTTAACATTTGACACAATGTGCCTTAAAATCCTTCATGGGGTTCAGGAGACTGAAACCCAAGTCTTAATCCTTTGACTTGTAGGTGTGACCCCGACCTTGAGCTGTCACACCTGGCATATAAGTTCTGCAAATTATCTGGATGTGCTAAAGAATTGACCCAAATTTCATAAAAATCCTTCAAAGCTTTAAGCATTTTTTCTAAATCAGTGGAATATAAGGACCTATTTAGATCATTGTAATACACCATTCATTTGTAACCACCTCCCTTGCCCCGGAGGAGTGCGGATTAAAAAAATCGTGTTTAAATGTTTGCGCTGTCCCGGGGCATAAGGCAGAAGATTTTACAAGCGGTCGGCTTGGTGGGTTGGGTTGAGTGGTGCGTATTCATGGAATAATAACTGATCACCAATCAATTGCACTTTCCAAAAAGACACTAAAATAATAGTATATAATAATAAAAAAACAATAATTATATAAAATATATATATTTAAAAAAATGTCCGAAAAGGGTTGGCCGAAACCAGACTTGCCCTGCCGAAAACGACTGGGCCGATTCCAAAAATGGTCCGAAATGTGTCCAAACCACTGTGTTAGTTTGATACTCAACTATGGGCTGTTATGAGATGTGAAGGCTGTTTTGATTGGCTAAAATATGTATGAAAAACAAAAATAAAATATGTGCGAAAAACTAAAATAAAATATGTATGCAAAACTAAAAAAAAATATGTATACAAAACTGAAAAAAAATATATATGCAAACTAAAATGAAATATGTATGCAAAACTAAAAACAAAAAAATGCAAATATCTAATATCTCTATTATGCCAACGTAATTTTGTTATATGAACACAATTTTTAGATATTTCAAGTGGTAAATATATGAAACTTTTATCACTTTAGCATCATAAAGTATTGACCGCCATCTTGAACTCCACCTCAAATATTTCAATGTCGTAGATCGAAAATAAGTCAGTACTCAGTTTTAAAGCAGAACTCAGATTACACCTTTAGACCTCCTGAACCCAAATTGCGTTGATATGTAGCATATTAATGCACTTTGGGGTCAATTTCTCGATTTTAACCCTAAAGTGCGTTGGACCCCAAAGTGCAGTGTTACAACACATATCGCGTTAAAAATATTCATAGGCGATGAAGTATCAGTACTTCTTATTCAGTATTCACGAGGTTTAACTGACCTTCACATTTTATTAAGACCTTTATCATGAATACTTCGCCATGTCTATTGCATTTTTCATGTACTTTTTATCTTGTATTTTTGTATTGATTTTTGCAAAGATCATGTTACTCGTACTATAACTGTACAGACACATCAAATGTTGCAATCGCAACTACTCGGCCCTTTCCGTCAGTCTTCGGATAAGGACCTCGAACACAATAGTATGAATACACAGAACGGATGCGGTATTCCTGTCTAACCTACGCTAAGAAACTAAACATGTAAACAAATAGTAATTTAATGCTGGGAGTTGTTGACACGTTTATTTCCATTATATGTATAGTTTGATTTTATTGACCTGTCAATTATGAATACATTGTAGCACTCATTTAAATATTTGATCCCACTTCGGTTGTGTCCGTTTATTTTACGAGAATTAATATGGAGCATATAAATAATGTTTGGATAACTCCCACTAGCTTAATGAAATTTCTCGTAGCATCCGCAATAGCGCAGTCGGTTAAGTGATTACCTAATGCATGAGAGGTCTGAGGTTCGATCCCTTCTTTCGACATTCTTTTTAGACTTATTCTTTCTTTATTTTTAAGAATTTTTTTATTAAATGGTCAAGCGCCTGCAAAATTGTCTACACGGATATGAAACACCTAAGAAACACTGAATTGTCACATTTTGTATTGTATTTTACGGTACTCAAATTACATTAATTGATTTTAATCCTAATGATTTTTTAGAATTAATTCTATTATAACAAACAGTTATAATATAACAATGTTATATACAAAAGTATAGTATTTACAAAAAAGTGCAAAACATATTAAAAACGGAACAACCATAACTTCAAAAATGTTGAAAATAGTTATGAATAAGAAAAAAACCTGTCTCGATCTTACAACACGTTGGACATTCAGATAAAATATACCCGTACCCTATTGCGCTATAACGGTCACTGTAACTTATTCATAGAAACTAGACGAGTTTAATCACATCTTACTGCGTACCTCTCACGGAATTTACCGAACATTTATCGAATATTAATATATTCTGTGCATTGACCGTATAATCAGTATGGAATTGACAGGTTAATAAAATCAAACAATAGTAAAAGTCCACCTGAAATAAGTGAATTTATGGGTACAAAAGCAAACAATACATTATTTACATATTTACTTATATGGCTGTGAAACCGAAAGTACAAAAAACCAACATGTTGACATTTGGTCGGATTTATTTAAAATTGAACATCAGAGATCATATTTAAATAACAAATTGTTGTCGGACATATTTTAAAGCATAAGAGTACCGGAACAGACATTAGATGTCAAAAATATACATTCGTTTTACATTATCTCTGTTTCTGTTTACATCAGTAAACCACGTGGTAGAACTACTTTCAACCCGTATTGTTTCCGAGGTTAATATTGTAGATAATAGCCGAGGCAGTTCCGAATGCAAATGTTGTTCAATCGGAACATCTCTGCTATTAATATTATCATAAATAACATCCGAATTTTGAGGAAAAGTGCCGAGAAGATATGAGTGCTCATTGTTACATGCGAGTTTTGCTAAGAGAATAGGTGAAATTCATTTTTGCATTTATATAGGCAGAATAATTTCAATTTTTGTTCCTTGACATGTGATTTTTTCAATAAGGTGATGGCTGAAATTACAAAAAAGTAGTCAATTAAAAAAATCAAGGAAAGCACAAACTTACGGATGAGCGTCGGATTAGTATTAACATGTTAATATGTTCATATTTTATACATTATAATTTAAAAACTGGAAGTTTGTTTGTGCACTAACACAGAATAGATCACATGCCGCCAAAACAGGAACCAACCTTGGGTGTTACAAAAAAAGGGAATATAAAAAATGTGTAAATAAATACTTTAAAATGAACTTTTGTTCGTTACCGTATAATAACATTGAAATCACCTGATTTGATCTGAAAAAATTATAAGAAAAATCTTACTATACCGACCATCTCGTTAAAGATATGGAAACCAAAATCAATCAATTCCGTTGAGATACTTTCTTCATCTGTCATAATATAGTATTGTTTCAATAAAGTTATGTAACATGTCGAGTGAGCCACAGAAATAGCTAGTCAATCTGTACTTCAGTACTTTGATTTTATTTGCATTCATTTTTTTATCAATTTAATGTGATATACACTCAAAGAAAAACTGTTTTCACGAGATGTTTTGGACACAACGGCACGAATTTTAACAGTCGAATTTCGCATACAAAGGTAAACCTAAAACAGATATGAAGTTAGCCATTTTCCTGTAAAAATGTATCTATTGAAGACAGCTAACAATCAAGAGAAAAAACAAACTCACATTACCTTCAAGATTGTGGATGTTGTCTTTTGCTCGATGGTTACCGTAAATCGCAGCTGAAAATCGCCACATATTTATAAACGATTTTGTACGGCACGTAGGAGTAATCATACTTATCAAACTGCAACATGAACAGGAAAAATATCATTTCGTACGGCTTATCACCTCGTGCAAGTTTAAATTTCAATTGCACTTGATTGTCAAACGGATAAACAATTAAATAATACATATGAACGGACACAAATGTTCTCTTGCGATATTGGGTCGGGATTATCAAATTCTCACTGATTAAACACTTTTCAAGTACTTGTATCATTTGATCATAAAGTCAAGTTGATTTGTAGTATTCAGTGATTGAATTGTTGGTTAATATGTTTATCTACAGAAGTCACAAGACAATTAACAAAGACATCTACTCGAGACAACTGATAACAATTTTACATTTAAAATTTTATGGATACATAATTTACTCAATTCCAGGGACATAACTGTCATTTTTAACGTATTTGTAAAGCAGCATGTTTAAGAAGTCTCTCGTAAACCTCAGACTTCCTAGTTAGTAAGAGAGGCAATCGGACCACCTCTACAGTTATTCATAATCATCTCGGAGTTAATACTACATTATGCCGTGCTCCTTACCCGAAGATTGGTGGAAATGGCCGAAAAGTTGAGATTGTTGGAGTAGCTGGGGATCGAAGTCACGATCCTTGCATATGTAGTCCAATAGTGTTACCACAAACAAAGTTCTACGTCCGCTGAATTTAATTAGTCAACATTATTTAAACAATTGTTTTTCGGTCGTAGATATTTACCAAAGTCGCAATGACTTCCGGTAAATTTACGGAGTGTTCGCCATGATTTGCCTGATAATTACCGTGTGCTTTGCGTGCGCCAAATATAAAAAAATAGGTGATAGTTAATAACGATATTTTTCAGATGATGCCTTTTACTGTGTTGTCATAACTTAGAAACCTTCAAGAAACCAAAGATAATCGGAACTGACATACGCATTGCAAGTAATTCTTACAAGCCCAGCAACAGTTTAACACTGTTTACTTAGGCCGACTATCTGATTTAAATATTTCTAGGAAGGGAGAAAACAGTTGATCTCATGAGTTACTATTTTTATACGGAGTTATAGGGAAATTAACTATCAATTTTTTAACTTAATTTATTACAAAAAAAATATTAAAATTCGACCTCAGGGGAAATAAGAAAATTGTCCATTATATTTGACGCTGCCAAAAAGGCGGCCTGGACTATTCAAAAATATAAAATAACAGTTTACGGGATACTGTGAATAGTTTCGATTCAAGATTTCAGGCGGTTTATCGGATATAACTTTGTCGTGTTGCACACACGTATGTTGTTAAAATATCTGAATCCTTTCCTTTTAATAAATCAATTGAAAAATGCTAAAAAGTAACAGTTTGTATGTAAACAAAGCACGATGAAGAGGTTAATGAATAAACACAAAATAAATAGTGCCGAACTCAATATTAAAGGGACTCCACTGAGGTTTTTTGAAATGATGGAACTGAAAATATCTTTGTGCAAAATTTCAGATCATTCGCGCACTTCGTTTTCCCCAAAAAATTATTCAAATTGTAAAAATATGACCAAAAATGAAAAGCGTTTAAACGCTTTTCACTCAAATCGAGCTAAGAAATAAAAAATACGATTTTCAATTTATTTCGAAGTATATTTCTTGACTATCTTTGCATATATTTCAGTTTAAAGTGCCCCAGCTCATTTATGTACGAAAATTCAATTTTTATGTTCTTAGGCCTTTAAACCTCAGTGGAGTCGCTTTAAACATTTTATGTGATTTACCGTGTCATAAAGTTATATGCGATAGAATGTCTGGTATTTTTAAAATGTTTTAAGTTTTTTTTTATTTTGCTTTGAGCTATAAATGTGGTGGGAGTTATATATCCGGTGGGGGTTGGGGTGCGTCCGTGGCCGAGTGGTTAAGGTCGTTGACTTCAAACCACTTGTCCTTCACCGCTGTGGGTTCGAAACCCGACAGGGACTTTGGTTCTTTCAGGTGAGGAAGCTATCCAGCTAAATTACGGAACGTCAGTGGTTCTACTCGGGTGCCCGTTCGAGCCAGAAATAATACACGGAAGGGCACCTGAGGTCTTTCTCCACCAGTAAAGCTGGAACGTCGCCTTGACCTATACTGTGTCGGTGTGACGTAAAACCCAATTAAAGAATCAAACAAATATCCGGTGGGACATTTATATTCAGTGGGCGTAATGTAGTGCGTTACAATACAATAATAATTTGAATTTAAACAGTTCCATTTTACTTTTTTTTCTTAATATAAGATTTAACCACAGGTCTGTATAAGGAATCAGGTAAAGAAACTTTATATGAAAGAGCCGGTTGAACCGGGTGATGCTCCCCGAATAGGCTTTGGACACAGAAAAGTATACCTTTTGTAGTTTCAAAGTTATGTCACGAACAAAGTTTAAAGTTTAATTATTCCAAACTTAGGTTTTGCAGATTAATGGATCTTTTGCACTACACTCCTACCCTATGAGATCTATCTACCTATAATGTTTCATGTTGATATCTCTTATAATTTTAGAGTTATGTCCCAAAGTTCAAAGTGTAAAAATAATCAAAGGTCAATAACTCCAAAATTAGGCAAGGCAGAGTTATGATTCTTTTGCACGGTGTGGCGCCGTTAAATGTCGCAACCCCGCTAAATGTCGCATTTGCCGCTAAATGTCGCACCATTGCCGCTTAATGTCGTAATCGCCGCTAAATATCGCAAAATTATTTGCCGTTAAATGTCGCAATGTTAACGTTAAATGTCGCACGAATTTCCCTTACCGTTAAATGTCGCAACACTACCGTTAAATGTCGCAAGATTGAACTCAAGTTTTATTGTTGTATCAAATTAATTAAATCTGCCTACTCAAGACGAATTTTGTCTGTTTGAAAGCGAGTAAATTTATTATATATGGAACTGCGTTTCAATTTTGGCGACGATAATACTCATCTTGTTTATAATGTATATTGTTTTGCGTTGGATTTTAGCTGAACTTATGCAAGTAAATATTACTAATTATACAAGTGTATACTTTTTGTATGAAACTGCAAAATTGGCATTGTTCTGTAAATAGTATTGTATAATCATGTCTGTAAAATTGGCAGAAGAGACAACCTAACGGTCTGGCTGCCTGAGGTGGCAGTTTGATGGCCTTGTTGACTGAGGAGGCAAATTGTCTCGCAGTCGGAAGAGGAAGCCTAAATAGCTGACGACCTGGGCCTTAGGAGTTTGCCTAACGCCCTGGAAGCCTAACGTTGGCAGCCTAGTATCATGAGGAGGCCGCCTAACATCTTAACAGCCTATCGATGTCAGCTTTGCAACCTGAAGTTGGCAATCTAACAGCCTAAAGTCGGCAGCCTAGTAGCTAAAAGTTAGTGACTTATATTATAAATATGGAAACAATTTAAAAAACAGTAAAATCACTATGAATGGTCTTGCAAAAGCACATACAAATGCATGAGTATGGGGAAAACGCCTTTACATTAAGGACACTGAACTTTGCAGTCTAATAGCCTAAAGCTGGCAGTGTAGGAGCCTGGCAGTCTAAATTGGTGCCTTATTATAAAAAATGGAACGATCAAAATAAAAAGTAAAATGGCAAGTTGGATTTTTCCAAATATCTACTCGTACGAATGGCTTTATAATTTACACATTTATTAATTAATACAATATACTTGATCGTGGCAAGTTACATAATTATTGCATAAATCTTTATCAAATTATTGTCATTTTTTAGCAGTTTGATAATGAATATCGTGAACCTAAACCGGCAAGATGGATTTTTTAAGTACTGTCTATACTTATGGCCTTATAATTTCCAAGCTTACTTATTTAGAGAAAGTTCATGATATTGCCAAGTTATATAACTCTGACATTCATTTTTCCCAAGTTATATTCCTTTTTTTTTTCACTTTGAAAAATAGGACCTTGTATGGTTAACCTAATACCTTTAATGGCCGTGTATTTTTTGTGGAGTAAGGGGTCGCTAGTGTCAAGGTCACTGGTGTGAAAATGTTCTTAACATTTTCGCTCATTAAGCCTTTATTGTTAAGTTGTATCATAGTTTGGGGACCTTGCTGTTGAAAATGTGTCAGAGTTAAATCGTATACATATACATGCACAGTGCGTTAACTGGAGTGCAGGTATTAGTTTCCCGTACTCCAGAGCATGCCCATTGAACGGTTCATTTTGTCCGGGGTTTACATATTGTGACGACAGAGAAAGGAATAGCGATGGAAATATCATATTCAGATGCTCTTTCATTGGTTACTTTTTGTGGGGTTTCATTTTGTGGTATCAGAGAACGTGTTTTTATGTTTGACTATGATACAACATCAAAACACTCGGCAATCTGATTTATACTCGGGGGCTACGCCCCCTCGTACAATCAGATAGCTTCGTGTTTCTATGCTCTTTCTATTACTTAATGTATTTCATGTTTAATACAAACATGCCATGGGAGGTCCTCTTCCTTTGGGTTTAGTTTTGGGTCCTGTGGGTCAAGGCCAAAGTCACCAATGCCAAAAATAGATTTTCACATTTTTACAGGTGCATTAACATTATTCTTTTGAGAGATGACTTTTATATTTGTATAAACATAAAATTGAAGTCTTCTCCTTTGGATGGAGTAAGGGTTCAGTTGGGTCAATGCCGCCAGTTCTAAAAATATATTTCTACACTTTTACAGCCTTTATTTCTTGACAAATGTATTTCATATTTGGAAGGTAGATAACTTGCATGGTATTCTTCCTTTTGATTGAGGTAGGGATCAATGGGGCATGGTCACAGAAGTTAAAATAGATTTTAATTTGCAGAGTGAAGTTCACACAAACAATTTACGCTTTTATCAAATTTGCTTCTCGTATGCGTGTTTTTATTTCCATTTTAACGCCAGAAAGGCAGTGGTTATTCATATTATTGTTGCAATAAATTAAAAAGATGTTTTCTTTACACATCTGTCTTATGTTTTTGTTTTAAAAAATCAAGTTCTTAAAATTACCTTAAAAAGATACTCTATTGTGCGTATGTTTTGTATTTATTGTCATTTGAACTTCACTATGACGTACTCGACATGCGCATTCGGACATGATAAGAAAAAAAGTGGTTACAGATATCTAACTAATATTGTCGTTACATATGTAAAATTCATTTCTTGTGTTTTTCGAAAAATGTCAGATTTAATTTCATTGAAATATTTATAATGAAGCGTTACAGATTAAGATTTTCATTACAGCAAAGCATTGATATAAAAAGCCTAAATTCTCTGGTCAATACGGCTGGCTGTCTTCAGCCAAATAGCAAGGTCAATATGAGCTTAACCAATTATTTGTATTCTTACTACATTGTATATGGTATTTACTGAGAATCTTTCAAAGGATAAAGCGACTTGGCGAGTAAAATATCACTTGCCAAATCGTAAAATGTACTAAATCTTGTGAACTCATTCTAACTTTGACATCTGCTTACTGTGTGTGTGTATTTGCGTTTATTTATACTCGCCACCGGTTGCCCATATGGGCGAGTCCTCCAGAAGTGTATTAGCCATTTTAGATTTTGAAGATAGTGAAATTACAGGTACAGTTCTGCCCGAATTCCAGAAGCTTCCCCTGGTTCTTTAACGTGCCAAGTTGTTTAAGCACCCATACATAGGACCTCGATTAAAAGTGTTATCCGAAAGACTGATTAGTAATTTTAGTTGGCCAGTCCGGGAATCGAACCCACAAGGTCGAGATCACAAGTCTCGTGCTCTAACCGATTGAGCTATGCGGGCTGGCTGCTAACAAAAATTCCGGTGCATATTATATGTGTTAATCGTAAAATTCGGTCATATCTTACGCCCGACTGCGAATCGAATACTACATGATCAAGGTGTACTACATGATAGTTTTTGTTTTCGATTTTCGTATTGACCGTGCATTTCATACTATGCTTTTCACGTATTTGCCGTTTCTGATAAAATAAAAATGTTTGTCTTCACGTTTGAAGTGAATATTTAATATGTATTTTTGGGGGGAAATATAAAAAGGGAGACAATTTAGCAAAATACCTGTCAGGATCATCTGTCCTTTAGAAATGCATTAGTACTTTTATATGAAATAAGTATTTAAGTTTAAAGTGAATGTGTTTGAAATTAGCCGTAACCAAAAGGTTAATCATAGCGAAAACATCTTAGAGAAATAATGGGGAATAACTTTGCAAACCATATCTAGGATTATCTGCCCTTTGCATCATATGATCATAGTAAACAAATAAACCACATTTAAAGTAAATTCGGTAGTGTCTGAGAAAATAAATGAAATTACTTAAACCAAATTATGAGAGCAACAATACCATTATACCTTTAAACTGTTGTCAATCAGGGTTACAAATGAAAAGAAAGAAAGAAAAGAAAATTACTTATCTATTGAGAATTTAGTATCAATTATCCTTTCTAGCCGAAAGATTACATTATATAGCAGCTCAAAACCTCGATATTTAGGTTCATAAAGGAAAACAAGTAAAACAAAGATGGCAATTACAATATAAATAACTATGAGAATGTTAAAAAGTAATATAATACTACTTTAATCATGATTTTAACACGAATTTACATCTTTCGACATTTAACGGTAGTGTTGCGACATTTAACGGTAAGGGAAAATCGTGCGACATTTAACGTTAACATTGCGACATTTAACGGCAAATGATTTTGCGACATTTAGCGGCGGTTGCGACATTTAGCGGTATTGGTGCGACATTTAGCGGCAAGTGCAACATTTAGCGGCGTTGCGACATTGAACGGCGCCACACACGGCAATTCAATCCAATGCGATCTAACTACTTACGAAGTTTCATCTTGATGTCTCTTATAGTCAGAGTAATGTCCCGGACAAAGTTCAAAGTAAAAGAAATGAACAAAGGACAATTACTCTAAAAAAAGACAAGGCAGGGTTATGGTTCTTTACACTGAACTTTTACCCAATTAGATCTACTTATAAAGTTTCATGTTGATATCTCTTATAGTTTCAGAGATATATTCAGACAAAGTTCAAAATATAAAAAATGAACAAAGGGCAATAACTCCAAAATTAGGCAAGGCAGAGTTATGGTTCTTTTGCATTGCATTTCTACCCAATGAGATCTATCTACCTACAAAGTTTCATGTTGATATCTCTTGTTGTTTCAGAGTTATGTCCCGGCCAGAGAAGCGGACGGACCAGCAAAGCGGCAGCTTTATGCCCACCCTTCGGGTAGCATAAAAACTGACAACTGAATTTGTATAAAAATACAAAAATGTGTAAGATCAGACATCTCAAGTTTCCGTCAAAAGTCATCTGCAACAATTACGTCACGTACAATATAAGACTGTAAGAAGATTGCTACAGCATGCAGATATTTTACAAGACGTCTATCCAAGTTATTGTAAATGTTTTATTTCCTTTTGTTGTATTTAAATGTGAATGTACGCGAATGAACTTTCCTCTCTCCAACTTGGCATGCAACTCTGGCAGTCAAACTGCTTCATGAATTAAATTTAGTTCAAGGGAAATGGCAATTTATTCCAAGAGTTCATATTATTTTTGTCACAAACTTAATTAAAAAATATATATTAAGGTACAAGTACACGTATTTTAAGTTTAAGGTAATTATAACATTATTTATGGTAATGTGGAAGGATGACAATAATGTGTCAATTATTTTAGTTCATACATGGTGTATATTTGTTTGTCCCAAAAAGTTCAGAATAGCTCAATCCCCGTTTCATTTTCGAATTAAGTTGACGTAGAACCATTTCTTCTTTGGTTAAATTCTGATGAAAATCCTTCTTCACTTCCGGTTGCCTCAAATTCAAGTACACGTACTACATACTTCCTAACGCATTTACGAAGTCGCATCGATACGAAAATACTTGATATTAATTTTCCAAAAAATATATTCAATGTAGCACTTCCTTTTTAATTTAAATTAAATCTCTAAAAACATAACTGTTACGTCTTAGCATGCGTTTGTTGCGTGCGTGTTGAGTTTGTTGATGAATTATCTGTTATGTACTGTTCTTAATCACAAAAAAAGAATAAAAATCACTTGCTAAGCAATTTATTCAACATGTACAAATAAATTATCGAACAAGCTTTGACAGAATAGACAAAAACATAAACCGTGTTTAATTGCAAGTTAAACAAATCAATCTTTAGTCTGCGGACGGCTACAGAACTAGTGTAGAAAAAGATCAGCCGGAACTACTTTACCGTGTGAGTCATATTATGCATTGTATGTCTGGTTCCCTACATTTTATACTGCGATTAAGGTAGAAACACAGGGGCAGGTGATCCAGACTACTGTAATGTTTGCTATTCAGTCAGTACATGTTTTTAGAATCTTGTGTTGTTTTGTTCAGTTATAAGGATGGACAAATCTATTTAAAATATTTCGCGTGGAAGTTATTAAACGGTCCAAAGTTGAGTGAACCTAGAATTTCTATTTCAGTAGTAGACATATTTCCTGGATAGGTTAAATGTGAAAATAATTTTTACTATGATATTAAAATAACAATTTTCCTCGATAGGTTAAATGTGGAAATAAATTTTACTTTGATATTGAAATAAAAAAATTGTAAAATGTGTATTGATAATATCATATAGCTACGTTAAATTAACAAATGTTTGTAATAACATTCTCTTTTCTTTCTTTTTTTGTTACAATCAAGTAAAAAAGTAAGTTTCAACTTCGTATTCCGGATTACGTGAACCGTTAAAAAGGTTTCCGTCATTTAAATCCGGTTAATGAAAGATAGCTTTTAAACTAGCCGTTCTAAAAGCAATGTCATTCTATCAATGTTCTCAATCACTAAACCCTACGTTTACAACTACTGATCCTAAAAGCAAGGTCATCCGGTCAAGGTTATCCATTTCAAGGTCATACTGCAACATGCTTTTAAACCACCCGTTTTGCGAGCAATGCCAAAAGGTCAAGGTCAACGCTTTCTTCGCTCCTCTTGTGAATATCACTGTCGTCGGTGGATCTTTCTTCTTCGTCCTCAGTTTCAGACCTTTCATCTTCAGTTTCTTCGGTTTCTGAGAATAAAAGAATGATAAAGTAAATAAATAGCACATCTATAAAACAAAAATCTAGTTGTGTACATCATGTAATCATGTGAATAACTGATAAAAATGTTGGGAGGTTATTTGATTTTGTTTGGAGTCGTGTCGTCACCGTTGAAGTCGTAGAAGATCGAATTTCTAGAAACTGACAGTTATAAAGATGTATAGATTTATATCATGAATCTTGGCAAGTGTGAAGAAAATTGAATTTACAATTTGATATAAGTGTCATTTGTGATAATCTATATTGTATGTTGTTTATTGTACGCCACAAACGAAGGAGAAAATATTACGTTTGCCAAGATACATTAATAACCAATTAGAATACCTTATAGAAATATACATGTATAAAAATTGATGCAATGTAATACTAGTACATAACATATAGAATGCTACAGACTTTGTACAATAATTTTGTTGTTGTTGTTGTTGTAGGTGGTGGTATTGGTGGTTATTGTTGGTGTCTGATTCAAACCACCGAAGTTATTAAATCTAGCTGGATAGCTATTCAAAGTATCGGGTGGGATTCGAACCCACAGCGGTAAGGGTAGTAGTTTGACATCAAAGGCCTTAACCACCCGACCAAAGACCATTAAAATGAATACAATACAATGCAATGCAATACAAGAGAAAACAGAACTGAACGAATCTATACAAGTCGAAACTATACAATATAAAACAAAGCAATACAACAGAAATTCAATGCAGTACAATAGCAATACATGTACAGCGTTGAAAAAAAGTTTTTTGTTGGGTTTAGTTTAAACATTTTAAAACAATGATACAACATGTTATTAATTAATACGTTTAAATTAATAATTGATACACGAAAAAGGATTAGAGCCGAACCTATAAAGCTTATAAAGGTCTTATCCACTTTATAACATTTTTGGAATGGGAAAAAAATCAAAGATTAAGCTAGTTAAACGAGCTATTGTTGAACTTTTGTTGGGTTTCACGTCACATCAACACTGTAAAGGTCTTATGGCGACGACTTTCCAGCTCTACTGGTGGAGAAAAATCTAAAGCAGGCATGAATTATCTCAGAGCCTAACGAGCCCCTGAGTAGAACCACCAATTATTCGAAAGCTACCTGGATATCTTCCTCACATGAAACAAGTGACGGGATTCGAACACAAAGCGGCGAGGGGGCAAATAGTTATAAGTCAATGACTTTAGCCACTCAGCCACGGACGCCTCAAAGATGCACAATATAGCTCAGCATTTATTTTACTATATAGCTTTTCACAATTTAGCGCCTCGCAATGAAATACAATGAAATCAACATTATATATATATACAGGATTTATTTCAACGAGTGGTATAAAAATAAATATTTCAGGAGTGGCGGTTGCCGTGGGTGAAATATGTTATTTTTTCGTACCACAAGATGAAAAAGAAATCTTGTTTTTATAGAAAAAAACATGAATATTCTGTTTAAAAAATACATTTTTCTCTTTTGATATTAGAAATTGAACGACTTCCCCTTTAGTTTTGTGTAATGAGAAATCAGTCCGGCAAGACACCAGTGAAAATACGGAGAATATGTTTCACTGCAATGAAAATATAATTTTACAGTGAAAATACAGATAATAAAAATACGCATTTTTTGATCAAAATATTTCTCGATATGTCATTTATGACTATACATGTATTCTAAAAAACATATATAAGACGGGCTGTACTTTGAGTCTGTGAATTTTCAGGGGCTTATGTCGTATGTAATACGAAAACTTTCCAACTACCTTCCCGCCTTTCCACACCCTCATCATCGCCTTCAAGTTTCTTTAGCAGCGCCTCGAGCTCTTCAGTCTCAGTCTCGCTTTCCCCTCTCTCTATAAATAATTTGATACACTTTTCTTACTTCATTTTTGTTACATCTAAATTGATTGGTTTATCCAATATCGTCGTTTCATTTACATTACCAAGTATGCCTTCAAATATCTAATCGTTTATAAAATGACCTTTCGATTAAAAATGTTACCAGTGTGTAAATTTATGAACGTATTAAAGGGTCTCCACTGAAGTTTTTTGACATTACGGGACTGGCGATAATTTTCCAAGATTAATGTTCCATTTGATGTAGTTGCAGATTATGAAATTGTGTCCGAAATTTCAGATCATTCGCTCGTCCCGTTTTTCCAGAAAACTGATCCAAAATTGAAAACCGTTGCAATGCTTTTCACTCAAATCGGGCGACGAAAAGCACAAATGTATGATCTGAGTATATTTCCTAATTATCCTTTACATATATTCATGTTTTAAATGCCCAAATTCATCCATGTTAGAAATTGAAATTTTCTGGGGGTTTTTGGCTTTCAGACTTCAGTGGAATCTCTTTAATATCGTGTTTCACACTGCTTAACCAAAAGAGCTGTTGCATTATAAAAGTCTGGAAAATTGGAGATCACTCTAGACCTGTTTCGATATAAAAATCTGGAAAGGGGACATCACTCTAAAGCAATTAAGGTGTTAAGAGTTATGCTCTGTACACATGCAATAATAGGGTTCCCGAGTTTATATGAAGCATCGCTTAATATGTACTGTTTTAAGCACGAAATACTCATGTATACAGCATAAAACCAGTCATTTCAATTTAAACCACTGGAACGACAAGGTGTTAAAACCAGAGCAATATTTATTGTGAAATTCTTCAAGAATGAACAGTCCTGGCCCATCCGCAACAAATATCTAAGCAGACACACTTTGCCTACACTTTTACCTTTTCAAACATTTAATTAATTTTCTCTGACCTATATAATACAGTACATGTTTTTTTAGCTCGACTATTCGATAAGAATAAGTAGAGCTATTGCAGTCACCCCAGCGTCGGCGTCTGCGTCGGAGTCGGCGTAACCACTTATGTTAAAGTTTTTGTAATAGTTCAAATATTTTCAAAGTCCATTGACATATGGCTTTAAAACTTTGCACACTTGTTTGCCATCCTGACCACAACCTGTAGACAGGAGGAGGTAACTGTATCAATCATTTTGACAGAATTATGCCCCTTTTTCGACTTAGAATTTATGTTAAAGTTTTTGTAATAGTTCAAATATTTTCAAAGTCCATTGACATATGGCTTTGAAACTTTGCACACTTGTTAACCATCATGACCCCAACCTGTAGACAGGAGGAGGTAACTGTATCAAGCATTTTGACAGAATTATGCCCCTTTTTCGACTTAGAATTTAAGTTAAAGTTTTTGTAATAGTTAAAATATTTTCAAAGTCCATTGGCATATGGCTTTGAAACTTTGCAAACTTGTTCATCATCATGACTCCAACATGTATACAGCAGGAGGCAGCTCTATCAAGCATTTTGACAGAATTAAGCCCCTTTTTCGACTTAGAATTTAAGTTAAAGTTTTTGTAATAGTTAAAATATTTTCAAAGTCAATTGGCATATGGCTTTGAAACTTTGCACACTTGTTCACCATCATGACCCCAACTTGTAGACAGGAGGAGGTAACTGTATCAAGCACTTTGACAGAATTATGCCCCTTTTTCGACTTAGAATTTAAGGTAAAGTTTTTGTAATAGTTCAAATATTTTCAAAGTCCATTGACATAAGGCTTTGAAATTTTATACTCTTCTTTGAGAGTATAATAGGACTCTCTCCAAGGCCTATAACTGTTATATGGATTTAAAGGAAAAATTTGCCTTTCTCTCTAGTGAAAAAAAAATTTACCTTTTAATGAAAGTTCTTTTTTACTATCTAGCACTAAGAATAGTCGAGCGTTGCTGTCCTACCGACAGCTCTTGTTTAAAAAATGTTTTGTTTGTTTGTTTGTTTGCTTCATTTTACGCCTTTTTTCAACAGTATTTCAGTCATATAGGCGGGTAGTTTCCTAATCATCGTTCCTGGAGAGTTACACCAGTACTAGACTACCTTCCTCCGCGCTAAACTACCAAAGCATCTCCCGTGGATCGAACCCACGCCAGAGAGGTAACTGGATTAGAAGTCATCGACTCTAACCCCTCGACCACGGAGGCGGTCTAATTAACTGCTGCGAATATACGTACACAAAAAAAGTCAAAATACATTAACGTTTTTATGCTGGACAACCCTTTGAAAGACTATTTTCATAGGAAATAACCTGATTATATCCGTTTAGTTCTATAAAACTAGTGATGTTCCGATTGTCGCAAGTCGCCGATAATCAGTTACTTATATGTAAAGCGACCATAATCGATTCACAAAAAATTTGTTCCGCGACGTCGTCGAAAATGTTTAAAGTATCAAAAGGAATTAATTCTGACAGTAATTTTCTTAAATTAGGAACACCTTGCCGATCGTAGAAAAATCATCTCAGAGACAATTTGGATTTGAACAGGATCAATAATTGATGTAAACAATAGTAATATAAATGTGATGTAAATGTTATTATTTGACATCCATTGCAAAATAAATCTATTTCGTAAAATTATGGCTATGTAAAGTTAAAACTGTGTTGAAAAGTGCTAAATGAAGTTCATGTTACTGAATATAATAAAGTGCATCGGGAGTAATTGTTACTTCCCTATTTCTTTTTAATGCGACTTTATTCGAAAAGTTATCGATTATGTCCCATCCGACTGAACCGATGATCGATTGGGACAAATTCCATCCGATTACCATCACTATATAAAACATGAAAGTTAGAATATAAACATCAAGAAACTATTTGAAGCTGTAGTTTCAAAATGGGTACATACCGTCATGTTTTCCATGACTGCCATGCTTATGGTTTTCATGTTTTGCATGTTGTTTCCGTAATTCAAGTAATTCTCGTCTGGAAAGAAATGAGATAATATAATAAGTGTTAGTTTCGAATTTCGTGTCAATAAACTAGGACACTGGTACAGATATAAAAACAAAAGAATGTTTTCGACGAAAGTCCATCTCGTTAACCCAGTTTGGCATCCTGGTAAAATAAAAGCAGGAAAGGACGTATATAAGAAGAAATTTCATTGGGTCATTTTAAAATCAAATTATTAACTTGAATCGGTGCTTCTCATTGGTCATTCTAAAATGAACTGTAAAGGATAGTTCTAACTATTCTAAAATAAATATAAAGGACACTTCTAACCATTCTAAAATGAAATATTAAGGATAGTTCTAACCATTCTAAAATAAAATATACAGGATAGTTCTTGCAGTTCTAAAAGAAGGTTAAAAGGATAGCTCTAAAGTAAAATGTTAAGGATAGTTTTTTGCCACAGTAAAAATAAATTATAAAGGATAATTCTTTGTTAATGATTACAAAATTTATGAAGTCAAATAAGGACCCCTAAGAAAGAAGTTATCTTTTTTTGAAAAAAATCACCAAAATCAATATGCTATCATTTAATTTTTAATGTTTACAAAATGGGTATTATCATAGCTACAAGAAATAATTATTATGTCATTGTTTGGAAAGTACTGTTAACATTTTGTATTGAATACTTAGAAATAACATAGTTGTGCATGTTAATTAGTTTTACTTCAAGTATCTTTAATCAAGCTACTTCTTGTTAACTGATCTTTTCTATCTTTTTGATATATTACACACAAAAAAGTTTTTAGGATAAGTGCATCCCTTGAAATAATACCGCTAGATAAGTTCAATTATACTATTTAAATCGCTTTTAAATTTTTTACATTTTTTTCCTTCGAAGGGTGCGTGCGAAATAGTCTGGACTGGTTCTATACTCTGGGCTGTACCATCCATCTTGACATAAACAGTAATAATGAACCTGTACAAGTTAAAAGGCACATTATGCCTCAGAAAATGAATATTATCTTTCCTTTCTGTCGAAAGGGCAAATATATGGTGGCAGATTTGGTACACTTTGCGCGTTGCGTTGACGATAGCGACAACACAACTTATATCACCTTTTCGTCTTGTCGCTAGCGAAACGCCCCAATCGGCGGGTTATCGCACTATCGTCTTGTCTCCTATCGCTAGCAAAGCACGCCAAATGGTGCATTGTCGTGAGGCGTGTTGTCGCGATGTCGCCCTGTCGCTTGTCTTATATACAAATGGCCAATCCTTCTATCTGAGCCGAGCGACCATGTGACATCGCGACAACACGCCGCACGACAACGCGCCGTTTGTGCTGTCGGAATCAACATCACAATGCACAAAAGTGTTCCTAATCAGCCAACATACAGACATGAGTTTTAAAATGTTGTAATAATAGATTTAAAGCATGTGAGATGTTTATCGCTCAAAGAAAACAGTACTGGATGAGAAACAGTTTGTCTTAGAGGTAGCAAAATGATAAGAAAGCAGTATTTTGACTTCAATACAAAATATTTAAATACAATAACAGTTACTGTATTTACTGCCTTACTGAAAGCGAAAGATGTCTCAGCTTAACTTTTCTAAAACTGTAACAGAGTACTTAAAAATGTTTATGAACAAAAAAATAATAGCATTTCAAAGACCTAATGGGCCTTTAATAAATTCGACAGTTAAACAGTTGATTTGATGTACATGTACAAGGTTAAGCGCTTGTTACCAAAGTTTATATATTTACTCAAATTAGCAGAAATATTTAATCTGAGGGACAAGGATAGGGAGTGCCCAGTGAAAAATGTTATTGGCGCTCAACCGAGAGACCGTGTGTTTTGAATCCTGCTTGGGTCACAAACCAGTTTCCTCAAAGAACAATACTGCTGTTTAGTTCCAACCAGCGGACAGAAAAATTGTTAAAATGAGTTGTTTCTTTCCTGTTTCAAAATCGTGCTGAAATAAATTATATTTAACACAAACAAAACTGATTTTTGTCTAATGAGATTTTGTTGGCAGCATGAGATCAAATGGCAATTTCAATCAGCCATATGGGCGGTACACTAGCAAGTACGGTGTTCCGTTTGGACACGTTTGGACAATCGTGACATTTTATTTATTCTGTACCCGCGATGCACGATGGTACGATGGTGAAAACGCGATGGTACGATGGTGAAAACACGATGGTACGATAATGAAATCACGATGGTGAAATCGCGATGGCGCGATAGTACGATTGTGAAAACGCGATGTTACATCGCGTTTTCACCATCGTACCATCGTGATTTCACCATCGTACCATCGTGTTTTCACCATCGTACCATCGCGCTATCGTGTTTTCACCATCGTGCCATCGCACTTTCACCATCGTGCCATCGCGATTTCACCATCGTACCATCGCGATTTCACCATCGTACCATCGCGATTTCATCATCGTACCATCGCGTTTTCACCATTGTACCATCGTGTTTTCACCATCGTACCATCGCGTTTTCTGTATTCTGTACCCGCGATACACAATGGTACGATGATGAAAACGCGATGGTACGATGGTGAAAACACGATGGTACAATGGTGAAATCGCGATGGCACGATGGTGAAAGTGCGATGGTGCGATGGTGAAAATGCGATGGCACGATGGTGAAAACACGATGGCGCGATGGTACGATGGTGAAAACGCGATGGTACGATGGTGAAAACGCGATGTAACATAGCGTTTTCACCATCGTACTATCGCGCCATTGCGATTTCACCATCGTACCATCGTGATTTCACCATCGTACCATCGTGTTTTTACCATTGTACCATCGTGCCATCGCGTTTTTACCTTCGTACCATCGTGCATCGCGGGTACAGAATAAATAAAATGTCACGATCTTCCAAACGTGTCCAAACGAAACACCGTAAGCAAGCGAGCATACGGGGAGGTCAAATGGCTTTGGCTTGTCCGGCTAAAGACTACACGTAATATTTAAAAGGAAATCAAATTAAAAAAAATATATAAAATTATATAGAATTCTATATAGTGGAAAATTCGGTATATTTTATAGTTGGGTGTCGCCAATTTTAATTTAACTCAATGATAAACGCTGGGGTATTCCGATAACAGAACAATCGCAACTTTTCGGCATAGTAAATAATCTCCGAGGTGTTCTGATTGGAAACGGAAGCGGTGGATAAAATACCGAATGACACCTTTAATATGAAATATTTAATAAAAAAAATGGTTCGCAGGCTTTGCCTACTTTCATCTTACATTCTGCACCAGTACTGAATTATATTGTTTTGTACTGTCAACTTTGCCACTAAAAATGATCTGAATAACGGAAAATACAAGACATTTTGTTCGCAGCCAAATAATCAGGGGAAAAGAAATAATCCCAAGACTTTCGAACTAAGTTTACATGACCAGTGTCAATTAACCTTTGACACACTGTATGAAACTAAATTAATGAATTTACTGTACTATATACGTAAAAATAGTTACGCAATATCTTCTTTGTGCTTGTTGTGCTTGCTGCCATGACCGGATGTATGTCTACTGAGAGCCATAACAACGCACGTGCACAGCAGAAACAGTACCCGGATGTCCATTATCGTGTGTTAGGTTATAACGACTGTAAAAGAAAAAGGTAATGAATAATAGACCATTATGTACATGAACGTTGTGCATTCGTTATCTAGAATCCCTCCGTCAAAATCGTATATAGAATATAAGTGACGAAGTTACGCGAACTTATGAAATCTATACATTAATGTATTAATTGGATGTATTTATATATGTAATTTTTATGATAAAAAGCATTTTTCTAAGATTTTGAACACACAAAAAATGGATAATCGCCATTTTAATGACGAAACACATTTTTCTAAGAACTTGAACTCAAAATAATTTAAGTTAATCACCAAACAGAAACATGTTATTTCGCAAATGTGCTCAATGCACTGTAGAGTTCCTCCAAGAGGAGTCCAACTAAAACTCGGTTTGAGAAAAGACGATGAAAACTTATTTATAACCACTATTCCCCTATCAAATGGTATAAGTGCTATTTAGTCGCATAAAAGATGACCGGAAGTGGACATTTGCCGGTTCTTGCTGAATAACAATAAGTTTGTTTTTCTTTTCATTTATTAACACTATTCAAATCAGAAATCTCATATGAGTAAAGTAGTATTATATTTCACAGCGGTGGTCTTAGGAATATTTATTATTTCCGCCACACGGACTTTTGTTTTAACCTTCCCAAGACAATTGATTAGCTATATTTTAATACAGTAAAAGCTCGACTTCTGCAGTCTGGTACCAAATGTCAAAGACTTATGACTGATGCAGGTTTATAGGACACCGTTCCTCCAGAAGAGTATTAGTCAGTTTAGATTTTGGAGGATAGTGCAAGATACAGATACAGAAAGATGTCCCATTCCCAGAAGCTTCTTCATAGTTCTTTAATTTGCGTGTCAAGTGTTTAAGCACTCATACTCGGGACCTCGATTTAAAGTCTGATCCGAAAGACTGATTAGTAATTTTGGTTGGCTTTCCCTGGAATCGAACCCACAATGTCGAGATTACAAGTCTCGCACATTAAACGATGCAGGCTGGCTATTAAGTAAAAAAAATGTTCAGCGCATTATAGTTTTGTTGCAAAAGCAATGTGGAACACCGCGGCTTTTATTCTTAATAAACGGGTTGAAAGTAGTTCTACCATGTGCTTTGAGATGTGAACAAAAACACTGTTAATGAAAAATTGTAAAGAATGTATATTTTTGACATTCAAATGTAAATTAAACCTATTTCGGTAGAAAAAAAATATTTGAAATATGATTGATAATCATTATCATAATCAGTTTTAAAATGCAATAAAAAGAACTAAAAAAACATCCTTATTAATGTTAACCATGCAGTAGGTATTTTGCACTTTCGGTTTCTACAACCAAATTGATAATCATACATGTATAAATAATGTGTTTCTACAAAATTAACTTTACTTTAGGTGGATAACTAGATATGATAACCATAAGATGAAAATATATACGGTATTTAGAGAAAATAACTTGAATTTTCAGTTTATTTTATAAACATATATGTTTATTTTGACATTACAATTAGAAAGAAATTCCGTTAAATTTTGTGTACTGGCAGAATTTAGAAGAAACTTGTCCGGAAAGGCACCGGTAAAACTAAGGAAAACATGTTTCACTGCAGTCAAACATAATTTTTTTTACAGTGAAAATACATAAAATGAAAACACACATTTTATTTTATTAATATTTCTCAAAATTTCATTTATAAGTATATAATTAAAATGTATCCAGCTCGATTGTGTCTGATTACGGCGGTAACGAAGCTTTTCAAATTTCCGCGAGAGCTAGATATTTCCGTACGTGAAAACAAGTCAATATTATTTTCTTGCGTTTAACATATAGACTAAATTATAAAAGAAACATTTTAAGTGGCATTGTGTCCAGCAGATGAGTGCGCTGGTAAGTCAAATAAAAAATGAAATTCCATCGAACTCAGAAAAATAACCAATAACGCACATGACTCGTGGAAAATTCTACAAATATCCTTCAGAAAGCACATGTAACAATAAAATAAGTGAGGCAGTCTGAAAAAAATATACAACTAATTTAGCTCAATGTGACAACATATCTTTTAAAATTAACAAAAACTATAATTTTCATTAGGCACAGAATTTACACCGGTGTGAACAGTAAGAGTCATATCTGTAACTGCTCCAAAAGAAAAAAGATATAAGGATGACGTCACATAAATTACTTAAGTTTGTGTTATTTTGTGCCAATAAATTTCTGAAGACCTTACGGCTGGTACGCTTAAGGTGATAAAAAAGTACATATTTGTTTAAATTTAATAGAAAAATGTGTAGAGTCTAGATTTTTATCTAGCTTTAAAATGATATTTTTCATATTTTCATCGTGCTTTTCGCCCTCGAAAACCCTCACTCCTAAATTTGTGAGATATCCTCTGTGCGTATACATCGATATTTAGAATCTATAAAGCTGAAATGATGTTAAGTAAAAAAAAAATGTATAAATGTGATGCATATATACAAAATACTTACTTGAAATACAAAAATCCGTATCATAAGATGTTTGTAGAGAAATTGTTGAAAAGGCCAAAAACAAGCGCTTCTTTTATACAAAATATCTTGTCCAAAAAAAGGTATGTAAAAATAGTTCATCTCACAGATACGGTAACCACGAGACTAATGTGATGTCACTCTGGCGTCAACATTAAGCTGGTTGTTAAGTTATTGGGGTATAAAAAAAGTTTATTTTTTTTATATACTTTTGGGCTTAAAATTTTACATTATATTTTTAAAAATAACAATGGGAAAAAACGGCTTTACCCCTTTAAATCTTTTTTTCACATTATTTTTACATTTTTGATTTGGTGTTTTTTAAATCTAAACATTTTTAACCCTTTAAGATGTCTTTCAAAAATAAAAGGCGGATTATTTTTTAAATTTGGCACAAATAATCTTGAATTTTTTTATTTTTTTTAAACTACGTAGATTTATGATTCACAGAGAGAGTAATAAAGATACGTTGTTCGGAGGAATGTCGTTGTCAAGTGGGTGAAAGATAAAATGATAACATACTAAAGGATGTTGACCTAAATCTGTTGAACACTAGAACGATATAAAACATATGCATGTCTTGAAACAAAACCAGGTAGATGATGATGGGGCGCGTCCGGTACTAAACGGTTGGGTACGGTACGGTACGGTACGGTACGGTAATGTAAATTAGAGATAGGATGGGTAGATACGTAGGTATTTTCAATAATAGATTAGAATTGTAATTTTCTTCATCTGTTTCACACCTTAAGTGCCACAAAAAATGCTTTGATTATACAAACCTAAAAACAAAGTTAATGGTAGTATCGCGAAGAAACTCCATACTTATTCAAGGGCAGATAACTCAAAAGCGTGTATGCCTTCGCTAGTTTTGTAGTAATTCGCTAAGCCTGATATTTGAAGCAGACACTTTTTGACATGCCGCACTTATCTTATAGAATTTTATAAAAGGTAAAGTAATTTCATCTTATCTTAATAGTATGTGCTGTGTAGGGCAGGACAAGGTTCGTTTTAGTGGGGGGAGGGGGTACGTGTTTGCGTTTTTGTTGTTTTTTTTTGTGATTTTTGTTGATTATTTTGTTCCGTTGCGTGCGTGCGTGCGTGTGTGCTGTGTTTTGTTGCTTTTTGTTGTGTTCTTAGAACATTCAAACTTGATTTGAATTCTTTGAAAGAGTTTACATTCTTTTTTATGTCTATACATGTTTATTTAAAGGGTAACCTGCGAACGTCTTTGGAATTGTATGTTTGCGTGGGAATTGCTGTGCCTAAAGATGACAAATTTCATATTCATATTAACATGTTCTGTACTGTTTACTATTTTCTGTTGTTTTTTCCGGTTAGCTATAGCAAGGATTGATATTAAAATTGGTGGGTTCGTTGAATTTCATTACGCAATAAAATTTTCTGAAGCTTCCGGAAGATGAATATTTATATAATATCAACTGCATACATGTATTCTGTGTAACATTTCATGCATATTGTCGGCCTAGGACTCTCTTTTGTATATATTAATGTATACATGTATATACGACAGCTAATGTTTAAGGGCCCATTTATGTCTAGAAATGCTATCATTTTTATTTCTCATAACCGGTTTATTTTTGTCACTTGTTTCAGTTTCCAAAAGCATACTCATTTGCTTAATACATGATATATATGTTGGATCTTTAGCCCTGATTGCATTTGGTTTAATTATAGTAAATTAGTATTTTGTATGGGAGTCGAAATACTACTTTGTTTACATATTATTACCCTTCAACATATATGTATGTTTGGTGCAACTTTTTCAGTTGTAAAACATCTTGTATGCTCTTAATCTATCACTTAAACATTATAAACCATATGTTTGACAAAGCTGAAAAGACACACACAGACAAATATGGATTTTTAAGGCATATTGGGCCTTTAATGTCAATTCAATTAAAGATTTATTCTAGTATTTTGAACACAGTAACTATAGTTTTGCACCAACATTATATAAGGTCCTGAAGCCTATTTGTGCAACTTTTCATCATTTAGAATCATTTGTATTAATGATAGATGTAAAACGATCATTATTGTTTTTTTTATGATAGTAGATAATATAATTCCCATCTAACAAATGATTTTTGATCTTATTGTTTAGCTCTAGTACTTATCATCAAGTTTTTATGAGAAACTTGTCTAAAACCGAGGCTACCAGTGAGGAAAATATATATATTTATATTGAAGTTAATTCAAAAGAAAATTTGATTTAAACTCGTATTAAACAAAGGAAAAAAAAGAAAGTGGTAATTTTCGAAGGTGTGGGGTGGAATAGAGAAATATGTGAGTGTACGGGAAAGAAAATGTATTTCGAGCCTTAATGACTTTTTCCAGCACACTTTTGGCCTGAAAAAAAAATAACAAAAAATAATGCTTAATTACAATGGGACCATCATCAGTTATAAATTCTTAAACAATTCACTTTTCCGAACTGTCAGTCGTCTATATTTTAGATAACAAAATTACTTTTCAAAAATAGTGTTGCACTTACAGACGGAGTGCCTGTTCGAAACAACATCTCTTTTTCAGGGATCGTCCTCGTGCAGAATAATAAGACAATGTAGTACGAATAACATTATGTCAATGTGCCAGTCTGGTCATGTGTTTCCTGTACTTCTTCGTATAATGTACCAGGATCAGTCTGTTGCGATTTCGATTTAATGTTTTCAAAAGTACATATTTACTTTACTTCCAGTAACAATAAGCACACAATAGAGCGAGTTTCATTATCTTATGATAACCTTTGTCAGACTGTATGTCATAAAAACTGAAAGAGTAGCTATGTCGCGAGCAAGAATAGTGTAAAGGCAAAAATCTGGTAGTTTGAAAAGCATTTTTGTTTAATGTTTCAAACTGGACTAAGTTTTTTTACCAAGTACCATTGCGCAAGAAGTTTTGCCCGTACAAAAGGTATATTGCAACCCATACCTAAACTAATTTGCATAGTCTAAGGGAATTTGAGAATTTCGCTCCTTTGTACATTGTATTTATTTTTAGGAAACTATTCAATGGATTTTGCCTATATTTAACATATTGCTTAATTAAGGAATATCTTACCAATGTATGTCAATTTTACTGACAGACAATCCATGAGATTTCCAAGTACAATTCATTTAATGGAGTGCATTTACAGTAATTACGAGGGGAAAAGACCAAAGTCATATACAAGATGGTACGAGACAAAAGTCATATCCATAATGGGACAAGACCAAGATCATATACACAATGGGACAAGACCAAGGTCATGAACACGATGGGACAAGACCAAAGTCAATATACACTATGGGATAAGACCGAACTCATTTACACGATGGTGTTAGACTAATGTCATGTCCACGATGGGAAAAGACCAAAAGCATATCACGATGGGACAAGACCAATGGCATGTACACGATGGAACACGATCAAAGTCATGAACACGATGGGACAAGACCAAAATCATATACACGATGGGACAAGACCAAGGTTGTGTATACAATGGGACAAGACCAAAGTCATGTACACGATGGTATGAGACCAATGTCATGTACACGATGGGACAAGACCATGATCATATACACAATGGGACAAGACCAATGGCATGTACACGATGGGGCAATACCAAGATCACATACACAATGGGACAAGACCAAGATCATATACACAATGGGACAAGACCAATGTCATGTACACGATGGAACAAGACCCAGATCATATTCACAACGGGACAAGACCAATGGCATGTACACGATGGCTCACGACCGAAGTCATGAACACGATGGGACAATACCAAGACCATATACACGATTGGACAAGATCAATGTCATGTACACGAGAGTACGACACCAATGTCATGTACACGATGGGACAATACCAGGATCATATACACGATGGTACAAGACCAAAGTCACGTACACGATGGTACAAGACCAATGTCATGTACACGATGGGATAAGACCAATGTCATGTGAACGATGGGACACGACCAAAGTCATGTACGCGATGGTTCGAGGCTAAGGTCATGTACACGATGCTACGAGACCAAGGTCATATACATGATGGTACAAGAACAAAGTCATATACACGATGGCACAAGACCAATGTCATGTACACGATGGGACAAGGCTAAGGTCATGTACACGATAGGACAAGACCAATGTCATGTACACGATGGTATAAGACTAATGTCATGTACACGATGGTACGAGACCAATGTAATAAACATGATGGTACAAGACCAAGGTCATAAACATGATGGTACAAGACCAATGTCATTTACACGATGGGACAAAACCAAGATCATATACACGATGGGACTAGACTAAGGTCATGTACACGATTGGACGAGACCAAGGTGATATACATGATGTTACAAGACCAAGGTGATATACACGATGGCACAAGACCAAGCTCATGTACACAATGGGACAAGACCAAGATCATGTACACGATGGGACAAGACCAAGGTCAAATAAAATATGTTACAAACCAAGGTTAAACGCATAATGGGACAAGACGAATTTCAAATACACTATAGTACATGACCAATGTTATATACACGTCATACACTATGGTACAAGACCAAGGTCATATACATGTACACGATGGGACAAGACCAAGGTTAAATACACGATGGGACATGACCAATGTCATATACACGATGGTACAAGACCAATGTCATAAACATGATGGTACAAGACCAAGGTCATATTCAGGATGGGAAAAGACCAAGGTCAAATAAACGATGGTACAAGACCAAAGTCATATATACATTGAAAGTTGTCATCCTGTTATGGTGGTGGCACAGAATAAGGTTCTAGTGCATTTTCCGATTATATGAGCATTTGTATTCATTTAAACAGGAACTTTAAAGGCTTTAAAGCATGTGTTTTACTTGAACATAATTGAAATAAATTTTGAAAAATATTATGTATTTATTTATTTATTTATTTAAGTCTCAATAACATATATGTACATATCAATCAATATAAAATACAGGATAAAACAAATGGCATACATATATGAAACCAATCAAATGTTTGATTTGCTAGAGACTATTAAAAAAACTATACATTTTTACATTCTTAAAAACTCTATCACATATTTTAATGACTACTCACTTAATGTACATATACAGAAAAAGAAATGAAATGAAATGTCATCTGAGTTTGTTCTTAATCATAACTTTGTCAATTCAAAGATCTTGGCAAGTATTCATATTTGAGTAAAGTTAAAATTCAAACTACTCTGTCTATCCCATAGAAAGGCTGAAAAAATTTAATCTTAAACAAAATAGTTCAGAAAACTGTAATGTGCTAAACTGTATGAAGACCGAAATATTCATGTTCTATAACAACAGTGGTTGTGTCAAAATTATGACTTGGCATTGATTTGTATAACCAAAAACAAACCCTCCTTATTTTTCGGTTCTAAACTATACTAATTTCTTTACCATATATATACACATAATCTAAATGCTATGACCTAGAAAACTCTTCTTAATGATAATCTGTCGGGTTTTTTTTTGTATTTTTTTTAATTAAAACCCAGAATATCTTTAAAAGGAATAGTTTATAAAGCTCAACATTACAAAATGATCTAAACAGTAAAAGCACAGGACTGATCTAATCAGACATATGAATTATTAATAAGGTTTTCTGTACTGCCATGCTAGGTCAGGGGTGAACATTACAGTGATATGTTTGTTCTTATTAGCTATGAGTTTCATGTTATTTATTTTTGTGTCGTCTGCTACAAAGTGGCTGCAACATGTAGGGATATCTAATGCCCGTCTGTCCGTCCGGTACAAAATTTGACCTTAAATGATTGTTTTAAGGTTTGTACGGACTTCTTCTCTTATACCAGTAATGCAATATGAATGAAACTTGAATGGATCGATCAATACCTCAAGTACATGTGTACTACAATGTACATGACCGGCTGGAGCAGGTAAACAAACAAATATATAATATAAACATTATATTTTGTTTGGTGAATGAAAAGTACATGAGCACCTATTAACCGTTTGTAATATACAAACAAAAATGATTGTTATTTTATGAGTTTTAGATATTGTTAAGTAAAGTACATGCGCACCGAATATCACACTAGATTAGTCAACCTAAACTCCTGCGATAAACACATATAGTTGATATCAAAACTGTGACAATGTACATGTCTGTTTACTTTATTTCACTGGGTAATATCTCACCAATTTAAAACTTCATATCATCATATAAGGTACAAGTAAAAACATACTATGGTTAAGCTCATATTTTTCGTTTTATTCGGAATATTTAGTGTTACGTCTGCCCGTAAAAATGTGTTATTCTTTGCTGTAGACGACCTCCGACCAGAGTTAAACTGTTTCGAAGGCTCGGACTTCCCTTCGCCGGTACACCCGCCGATGCATACACCAAACATTGACTTTCTTGCTTCTAAGAGTCTACTCCTGAAAAGAGCGTATGTCCAGCAGGCTGTATGTTCCCCGAGCCGCACCTCACTACTTACAGGCCGTAGACCGGATACGACTCATATTTACGACCTTGTTCACTACTTCCGAAAATTGGGAGGCAATTTTACGACAATACCAGAATATTTCAAATTAAACGGATACGTTTCCGCAGGCATGGGTAAAATTTTTCATCCGGGTTCTGCAAGTGGAGGTGACGATCCTATTTCATGGACGCTGCCGTACTTTCACGCGACAAAGTATGGTTGGGAGAATAAGAATAAAAGCTGGGACGCTATTCCAGACGAAAAATTAATTGACAAGCCTTTGGTAGATTTTCAAATTGCACAACAAGCAGATAAAACGCTAAAGATGTTTTCAGAAGGTGGTGAACACGAGGGGACTCCTTTCTTTATTGCAGTCGGATTCCATAGACCGCACCTGCCTTTCGTATTTCCGGAATCTTTTCTGAAGTATTACCCGGACGAAAGTATTCGTTTACCGCCAAATCCCTATGCACCGGTTAATATGCCGGAAGTTGCGTGGAGTAGTTACGGAGAATTACGAGCATATGGCGACCAATCGAAACTGAATGCTTCCGGTATGATAAACACAACATTGCCAATGGAGGATGTACGCGCGTTGCGCCGTGCTTATTATAGCGCTGTTAGTTGGACAGATTCGCTCGTGGGCTATGTTCTGCAACAGCTTCAAAAATATGGATTCGAGAACAACACAATTATTTCATTTTGGGGCGACCATGGCTGGCAGTTGGGCGAACATGGGGAATGGTGCAAGCACACGAACTTTGAACTCGCAACACATGCACCGATGATGATCCGTGTTCCGGGAAAGACTGATAACGGTATCGTAACGGAAAAACTCACGGAGTTTGTCGATCTGTTTCCGACATTAGTTGATGCAGCAGAACTTGGACCTATGCCACTGTGCCCTGTAAATTCTAGTCAAATAGCTTTCTGCCGAGAAGGAGAGAGTCTAATGCCGTTGATACAAAACCTGTCAACGCAATGGAAAGATGCCGTTTTTTCTCAGTACCCACGGCATCAAAATGGGGTAGATATAATGGGCTATTCGATTTGTACGGCTCGCTTTAGATACACCGAATGGGCGAAATTTACATACGCACCGGAATATCAACCTGATTGGGGAAAAATATATGGGTTAGAATTGTATGACCATCAGTTTGATCCGCAGGAGAATATGAACAAGGCACTTGAGCCCGAGTTTGCGGCAATAAGGCAAGTTCTTAGCAAACGGCTCCATGAAGGTTGGCGTGCTGCTTTGCCAGGCAACGGTTTATAAAATATACCAGGAAACTGATAGTAAAATATAAAACTGATTATAATATATACCTGAAAATTGATAATAAAATATCTTATGTCTTTTTGTAAATTGGTTTAACTGTTTACTGAGTCTGGTTCAGGCGAGGATTTGATACTTTTTGACAGCAAGGGGTCACAATATTTTGACAAGAGGTAATGCATATTTCAAAATAAGTTGACAGTTTAATAGTTTTCTAGAGGGCATCTAGAGTAAATATTGTTCCGATTTTCACTAGTTTAAGCGTGATTTTTGGTCTAAATAATAGACGTAAGTTTATAAATACCCTAATTTTAGAAATGTTCCACATCTCGTAAAACGTCTCTCTCTCTCTTCCCCCCCCCCGCACCCTTATAACATTCTTCAGAATCATTGTGTTTTCGGTGGTTTATTTAGGAAATAGATATCAATTCTGAGTGCATTGTTGTATATTCTAACACTATCGGATTTTTTTCTATATAGACAAAGAAGGCCGGAAGCGTGCATTATTCTACAACAATGCACTCGTCGTTCTTATTATCTCCCTGTGTATTTTCACATTGAAGGCGCCATTTTGTTTAAAAAATCTGATAAATTAAAACAATTTTTGTCGAATTTTGTTGTGAAAACTATCTAGAATGAAAGAAAATGGTCTAACTAAGAAAATTAATCCGAACACCAATATCTTTAATTCAGTCGTTAACGCTGTACAGACGTTTTAAGTGTTGTTTACGTGACGTCACAATGTAGCGCCAAACAGCACGTGCAAAACAATCAAATCAAGTACGCTATTTTAATGTCGCAAACGAGTTTAGTTTTACATTTATTTCACTTTTAATAATTTGTATTTCGCTTGGAAAATTATCAACTGAAATAAATAAACAAACAAAATTGTATCAACGTTTTCAAAATTCGTTATTTTCAAAATGTTTCTACACACGGTAGATTTAACGACAGTTTTTTTTCAACCCACTGGAACGGCCCTTAAAGAACGTTTCTATTGGAAACTCTGAGGCGAAAACAAATTCAACCACCAAACATAAAGTCCAACGTTATAATAATAATTATATTTTTTCTTGACGTGTTAGAATGGAAATAGATATCAATTCTTCGTGCATTATTGTATAATAATGCACGTTTTTCGTTCAAATGCTTTGTAATTAATCACTCAGGCCTATCGGCCTTCGTGATTATATTACTACGCATTTTAACTCAAACCGTGCATTATTATACAACAATGCACTCAGAATTGAAATCTATTTCCTAAATAATGCACGGTTTGAGTTCAAATGCGTAGTAATATAATCACGAAGGCCGATACAAAGCATTTGAACGAAAAACGTACATTATAATAATATAATACCCTTTGAGATATTGCTTTGAAACATAACACAAGTGTCCCTACCTCCAAAGTCACGGTCACATGTAGAGGTCAAAGATTTACATAGTGGTTATAGGGTATATTTTGTGTCCAGTCCATAACTTTGTCATAGATCAAGGGATTTTAAAAAATACTTTGCACAAATAATCATTATAATAAGACGATATGTCAGGCCCAAAACATGGATTCCTACCTCCAAGGTCACACTTGGAGGTCAAAGATTAACATAGTCTGTAAGAGGGTACATTTTGTGTCCCATCTAGAACTTCTTCATAGTTCAAGGGATTTTAAAAATACTTGGTACAAATGGTTAAAATAATAACATATGTCATGCACAACACCTGCACCCCTACCTCCCAAGATCCAAGGTCACACTTAGAGGCCAAAGCTTAAACATCATTTTATTTTCTTTAAAATTTTTATTGTTTGCAGATTTGCATGATCTAGCATTTGACCCCATAAAGATTTTTGGACCTGAAAGTCCTAAGATCCCATACCTCAATCTTTTGAAAACAGCATAATTTCAATTATAAAACTTACCCGAGGCGGGGCCCAGGTACTTCTGTCCCAAATTCTTGGTATTTAATAAAATATCTATTGTTCCTGAAACAGTAATTTATGATGATTTTATGAAAAAATCCTTAAATGCAAGACTGGATGCACGTAATGTCAAGCAAATGTATACCTCAGTGATTGCAGTGCTTTGATTTAGAATTATCTTGATCACTTTATCAAACTGCACTAAATCAAATATTTTTTAACGTCTGGCTGGCTTTTAAGGTTTTTATATATAAACTATATACCAGAAAAATAAAACACAATTATATGTATTCATATGAAAAATGACGACTCATATGAAAATTCCAGTAAAATGAGCTTTTTTTAATACATTCCCGCGTTTTCGCAGCAAAAGTTAACCATTAGATGCGAGAATTTATTTTTGGAATAAAATGGATAGCTCTAAATAATTTAAATTATTTCGTGTTATTTGGAGTTGTACACAAGACCGTACGTTGATTATCACGGCACTACTAACCAACCGTGGATTATATAACGAAGCGTGGTAATACAAATAGTAGCATTCTAAAAAAAATACCATTAAACGCAGAAAACGGGTTTAAATACAATAATCATCATTTATCATTCGGATAAAAACTGATTAATTATAAAGTCGTTTCTGTGATTATCACGGCACTACCGATAACCGTGCCCTTATTACGCCGCCCGCACAATAATCAACGCTGGTCCACAGAACCGAACCACTTTAATAAATTCATCGTCGGATACCCACGATTGATAAATCATGTCACATAACATGCAATCAAAAAATAAATGTTAATGGTTCGGCCGTGGGTATCCGACGATGTATAAATTGATTACACAGTTGAAAATTCAAATTGTAAAATTGTGTTCAACGTTTGCTTGAATAGTCATAAGAACCCCCGTGACCTTAAAATATATATCAATTAACCTTCTCATGAACTCCCTTCACTGTTACGTATCGTATTAATGTTCCAAGCACTATATATAAAATATAATTATAATATATGTAACAGTCTACAGTTTTTAATGAGTAGTTTTTTAAAGGGGACGTAAACTTTGTCTGTCCTGTGTTCGTTAGAAAATGTTTTTAATAATCAAGTTATTCTGAAATTTAAAAAACAATTTGGGCACATTTGTACATATATTATACCGTTGCCCATTATCATCCTAAAATCACAAACTGTGTTTTGTCTTATAATTAACCCTGTTGGATGCAATGTGTGTATTCAATGTTCTCAAATGGAAAAATGGAACAACATCAATGATTGTCTATTTACGATTCCCGGCAAAATATAAAATCACAACACTAGCTATTATCAATATTTAAAAATCACAACTGTCTTGAAACACGAAGTGAAAACACGATAAATAAACACATTCAAAAATTAGAAACTAAAACTTTAAAAATATATTTATTCAGAACATAATAATAATTATGATTATTTCATCACGAAAGGTTGTCATAATTTATTTAAAAATCGCTGCAATACATGCTTTTTTTAAAACACTCCCGTGTGTTTAGAAAATTAATTAATTCTCAACAAAAATTATACTATTTAGATGCGGCAATTCATTTTTAAATAAAATGGTGTATGATTTAACCATTTTGGAGTAAATCTTAAGACCGTACGTGTGATTGGTAACGGCACTACCCCAACCGTGTGATTATTACGCCGCCGCGTAATAATCACACGCGTGGTAATATTAAAGCTGTAGCGTAATAATCACACTGGTGGGAAATATTTCTCATAATCACTAACACAATGATTATTAATAATTACTAAGAGGGTCATCATTACTATGTGGAGCTGCATGGCGACAACCAATATCATCATTGCCATTCAATGTGGTCAGTACCAAGTACTATCGTCATTGAAAAGATATTTTCTTTGTAAATAAAAAACCTTAAAAACAAAACTATGATTATTAATTACGATTGGTCATCTTGTTGTCATAAAAAAGAAATCCATAAAATGCTGTATTATTGAAAAAGAAATTATATTGCGGAAAACCTTTTGGAAAAAAAAATGTATTTATTAGTATGTCTGATTAAGTAAATGACAGTACGTCTGATCATCACGTTATTACCACACACCACTAGAGCGAAACATCATCACCAACACAATGAATAGCTTTTGTACGAAGAGGGTTATCGTTATTTAGTAGCATTGAAACAACAATACCTTTATTATATAGCTTACATGTTTCCCCCTTAATTTCGGACTATTTAGCCAGCATCAACCTGCACCAATTTATCTTTACCTTAAAAGAGATTAGAAGATGTGTTATCAAATTCTTAAGGTACACTGTATGAATAATAAGAGCTAGTTTTTTTCACATATCTGAATTTAACTTACTTTATATCATATTATATTATGTTAATTAGCGCGAATCCGTAATGTGCCTTTTTTAACATTTCACGTAAAAACTTGTAATGAGAAAATTTCATATTCATTATAATGAAAACACGAAAGCAAATATTTTTTTATTTTTCATAAACTACTGAACATAGTTGTTGATGTCTTAATTGTTGAAACTTCTATAAACAGAATACATTATCAAAAGGGAATGTACACTAAATCTTAAAATAAATGCTGTTTTTGCTAAAATTTACTATGCAAAATAATACGCCCTAATTTTCACATAAGTGTTGACAAGCAAGAAACAACAAGCTAAAATGTAAGGTACTTTTATTTAAAATAGCATTCAAGTAAATATATACAGCTTTTATTTGTTGGCCGACCCCGACCTAACAAAGTTTTGACCAGATTCCAATCAGGAATAAGCAAATATTTATGATAAATAAACATTCAGCAACTATAACAAATATGTTAGGCTGACCCAACAAAACTTTAGAAATCACAGTCATTCAAAAACTACAGCTTACATCAGGAATAACAAAATATTAAACATTTATAAAATTTTACAAAATAATACAAATGTGTTGGGCTGGCTAACACAAAGAAATCAGCCATTCAAAACTATCTCAAAAATAATGTTTTTTGATTGATGATATCTTAATGTTTTAACTGTTAGGCTGGCCAACAGACAAAACAAGTTTAATAAAAATATCACTTCA